GTAAGGCCGATTCCGAAACAAATTTAAATGTTGTGGAAGTAGCAGGAAGTACGATCGACATCAAAGCTGGGAGTTCTGTCTGCCTCGATGCCCCTCAAGAAGAAGTGTGGATGTATTTGCTCTGTTTTGCTCAAATAAAACCCACATGAAAGAGCTTATAGAGTTCATAATCTTGTTTGTACTAGAATGCTACATTGCTGCAGCAAATCTTCTCACGCTCAGAAGCAGAACCCCACAAAACAACACAACACTGGTTACTTACTGTAACTGAGGAACTCTACAGCTGCGGTCCAGTATCTACACTAACATACTGTATGACACAATAAAAAGATGGTGTCCCAATACATGGTTGGCTAAAAAAAGCCCCTGAATATTTACTTTTCTGACCCGCAGTCTTCTAAGGAGTTGCATCACGTGCGAGAGTAAGCGTCAGAGAGACGACAGCTAATTTACATCCCAGACTGGGGCGGTTGAAGCTTAAGGCGCATGATCATGACGAATGAGTCCATCCCAGTTGTGTACATGCTGTATGAAATGGATTTAACGGTACGCACTTAGTAAGGCGGGCTAAAATGTTGTTCCCCTGCCGACTAAGGTCCTGTTTACATGAAGCAAAAACGGTGATATGTCAACGGGCCGTTGGTTTACACGTAAATGAAGCTACGAGTCACGAATCTGAAAACTCCGTCCAAAGTGGAGATTTGGAAAAACTCCATCTTTACGTTTGCATGTAAACAGGAGGAGATGGAGTTTGACGTCATAGTGTGCGACAAAAGCGTCATCAGCGTCATACGTGTGCGACTATGTTTACAGTTTGGCTACGTCCATATACTTGGACTGACATGTTTCCCGGTCAGTATTTTCAAGTATTTTCCTTGTTGTGTCTCTAACGCCACATTTAAGAGTAGCTCCACTTCTCTGTCGGTCCAAACAAACGACTTTAGGTAACAACATGTTTTCGTTGGCTTGTTCTGATTGGCTAGCATGGCTTTATGCTTCTCATTACACTGCCCCCTATAGGTCTGGCAGCTCACAGCAGCTCTTAACGTGTGTGGCCTAACAGGAAGCCGCTCAGTTGTTAACGGTGTGCTAAACTTGCCGCTACATGGACGTTAAGCAAATGTGTGATGTTGTGATGCAGAAAAATAATGGAAGAAAAGTCTGGACTTCAAACAGGGCACTTCAGGAAAGTAAGACAAAACTTCGGGGGAGTGAAATGAATGGGGAGAGACATGAGCACGACATTAAAACTGCACAAATACAGTGGAGTCACCAGTAAAACTTGATAAAAACTTCAAAGTTTGGTGACTTTTCCCCCCCGACAGGTTGTACTTCTTCTAAACCAAATGCATTGAAATATCATTTTTGCTATGAGTAAACGGGGCCTTAATCTTTAATAAAGTGAGCAGCACAACACAAGGATTTGTTTCTCAGAGGCTTAATTGTCTATTTCATGTGATGACTGAAAGCAGTACTCTCCACCGTTTGTCTCGTCTAGCACAACACCAACACAGAAGAAAAAGAAGACTTGAACAAGGTCGTTGTGTGATTGGTGTGTTTCTGGTTGCATTGTGTAATTTTATTTATTTTTGGGAGCGTTGTTTTGTTTTGCATGACCGTTACCCATGTGATGTCACTTCCTGTCTGTCCGCGGTTCGGATGGGGAACAGGTGAGCGAACGGAGAGCTCGTTCATTTTTAGTCGTAGTGTACAGCAGTTTGATGAGGAGCCAGCGTAGGGGCTTCAGGCTAGCTGCTGGAGCGCTCGGGTGGTTTCATTCGCAGTTCGCCTCTTGTCCTTTCTCCTCTTCAGAACTGAATGGGTGAACCCCATGGTCGCTGTACCCAGAGAGGCCGAGAGAGGAAGACCGGACCGGCTGCAGTAGTGTCGTGGTGTCGTGCTGTCCAGAGGGCGAAACCTCTGAGCAGCGGGTGTCTTAGTTTGAGGCCGACCGGTGACGTCTCTTCTTGCGGCAAGCTTCAAAGTCCACCTCGCGGGGTGTTTGGTCCTTGACGGTTCCGTGGACGTGTCCAGGTCACATGCAGGCCGGGTCCCTTCCCGGTGCCGCTGGACAGGGTGTCGTCCGAGGTGGCGTGTCTCCGCTCAGGGCTGGGCTGCCTGCCCGCGCTGCTTTGGCAAACCTCTAGGGGGTCTCTCTCAAAGACAGGCTGCTTTTCTGCTTCTTGGGGTCCAGGGGGTAACCGCAAGGCATCCACCTCTGTGGCTTTAACTGATGCATGCCGACCGTAGTGCCAAAAGCATTCAAACAAGGGCGAAGATGAACCTGATAAACGCATCATACCACATTGCTCAGAACACCAACAGCATCTCGGAGCGGCGCTGGGAGATCCAGCGGCTCAGAAAGAAGATTGCAGATCAAGCGAGCCGCCAGCTCAACTCAGAGCGGGCTGACATCCGGAATGTCCAAGTGGAGATTCAGGCCCACTCCAGCCAGCAGAGTCGGGCAGAGATGGATCAGTTGAGGGAGCAGCTTCTGGATGAAGAGCCTGATGAAACTGGAAAACAGCAACATGGAGATCCAGACTGACACCTTTCAAACACCTTGTAACCATAGCAGACTGGGGGCAGGAAAGGAGAAGGTGGCGTGCAGAAAGATGGAAGGAAAGCGCCAGTAAGTATGAAAGTGAAAAGGACTCCGATTCCCCAGAGTCTCCACCAGACAGCACAGAGACCAAGTAGGTGGCGACGGCTCGAGAAAATCTGGTCACGCTCATGGCCGAACAGAAGTTTCATCAGCAGAAGGCGTTGCTCGAGCGCAGGTTTGTGGAGCTTCGCGATCGAGCTTGGAGGGGGTCCTGGGCCTCTTCTGCAAGGTGCACGGATTAGAGATCGAGAACTTTGAAGATTTTCATCTATGTTAATGAGCCAGGCGGCAGAACGGTTGTCCTCTAATTGCAAGGTTGGTGGTTCGATCCCCTCCACAGACGAAGTGGCCTTGGGCAAAACACTGAACCCAAAGTTGCTCCAATGGCAGGCAGCATGTTGCATGGCAGCTCCGTCGCCATTGGTGCATGAATGTGTGGATGAATGGGTGAATGAGAAACACATTGTAAAGTGCTTTGAGTACCACTAAGGTAGAAAAGCGCAATAGAAGAGCAGACCATTTACCTTTAAATTTGTAAGGGACGATCTCAGTGCTGTACGGTTTCATATGAAATGTGTTAATATGTCTGTGTGTGGCAGGGAGTTTGTATGTTGTACCTGGCATCACGTTAATCTGAGCGGGACGGAGGCCTGATCCCCCTCAGCCTGTTTTAACAGGGAGCTTATTCGGCTGAAGGTAAAGCTTCGAGCTTTCAGTGAACTCATGCCAACTTTTAACTGTGTGGAAACTGTCTCAATGCTGTAATTGAATTATGTGCACATGCAGTCTGGATTCTGGTGAAATCTAGGAGGGGTGGATGCAACAGGGGTGTTAAAAAAAATTTATTAACGTCACTCAAAATCAGACCGGCGAGAGAACGGACCGGCTACAATTGCATGACCAAGAGACGTGCTGATCCGTCACAGAACTGAACTGGGAACCGACTGCTCGACTGACTTCATCTCGCTGAGCCAGAGCAGCGGAGCTTTAAACATATTAACAATTCATTTATCTGCGTCTTCCTCTGTGCTCTGAGAGCTTCGGCTCTCGCAGGTTTTTAATCATATATGTACATTCAAACCACAAACACCCAAAATACAAAAAGTGTAAAGGAAGTCTCGTCCCTCAAACTCAGCGGCTGCTTTGCTTGTAACCAGAGTTGTTCCAATACTTTCCTCAGTCTCAACAGTTCTGACTTTAAATCTCCATTTTCCTCTTTACCACTGACAAAAAAATAAAAAATAAAGATGCAGACCTCCACTTCCTCTGACCTCATTGTTTCCTTAATATCTGATTTAAATTGTTTCCACAGTATGTTGCCTTTATATATATATATATATATACACACATATATATATATATAAACATATTTTGGTATTTCTTTTGAACTACATGAAAACATTAGAAAACAATTACAACAACAACAAAAAAAACAAAACACAAAAATCCCCTAAATCTGCTCTCTGACGTTCAGAGCGACAAATCCAGCACATTGCATTCGGAGTCCTTGAGGAAGTGTTGGAGGAAAGTCAACCTGGATGATCTGCCCTCCTCCTCCGGTTAAAGTGGGGATCGTGTCGGAAGATGGGGTTGGCAGACTGGGTGACAGAGGAGGACCGAGCAGAGTTGGAGGGCTAAAGAATTCATTTGTGGGGTTTCCGGTGATGGACGCTGCGAGCTGGACTCAGAACCTGAGGTGAGATTTGTGTTTCACCATGTATCTGATAAAAGAGAAGGAGAAGGGAGGACACGTGAGGTCAAACAACGTGTGCACAGCAGACAAACCATCAGAGTGTGAAGATGTAGAGAAAATAAAACACCTGTCGAGGGTTTCCCAAAAGCGCAGGAAGACAGGCCGGTCAAGATGGCGTCTGTGGCGGCTCAGCTCCAGCACGGTCACATCCCACTTCTGCACATTGGGATCCGTCTTAGCCTCGTCATACTTCAAATGGAAGGCTCGAACTGGAGGAAGAAATGCATCCACACAACATCAGAGATGAACCTCAGAGAATAGAAGTTAAACAGCTGCCATCCCTATTGTTAGACCTCCACAATGTAACACACAGAAGGATCTGTCTGTCAAATGTCTTGAAATTCACTCCAGTTTGTCTTTGTCTTTAAATACAGTCCCACACTAAATGTAAAACCTTCTTTTATGTCGGATAGCAAGGCT